CTTTTAAAGTCTTGACTTTTTGGGTGTTTTAGTATTTCGAGAGATCCTTAGTGTTTTGTGGTTTGTGGATGATTCAGGGACTAGATCCTAGAACAACTGCTGCAATGTTTGCGGAAGCGAAGTGTATAGGAGAGAAGAAGGTGAATGGTGAAGATTGCTTCATTTTGAAGTTATGTACTGACCCTGAAACACTAAAGGCGAGGAGCGAAGGACCGGCTGAGATCATAAGGCATGTCCTCTTTGGCTACTTCAGTCAGAAAACAGGACTCTTGGTTCACATCGAGGATTCACATTTGACACGGATCCAATCCAACGGTGGAGAGACTGTTTTCTGGGAGACCACATACAACTCGTCCCTAGACGATTACCGTCAGGTCGAAGGGATCATGATTGCTCACTCGGGACACTCGGTTGTCACACTTTTCAGATTTGGGGAAGTGGCCATGAGCCACACGAGGACAAAGATGGAAGAAAGCTGGACGATTGAGGAAGTTGCGTTTAATGTTCCTGGTCTATCTCTCGATTGCTTTATACCGCCAGCTGATCTAAAGTCCAGTTCTTTAACCGAATCCTGCGAGTACCCACAAGAGGAAAGAGGGAAGAACAACACGCTCGCATTGTCTGCAGCTCACAGGGCCAAAGTTGCAGCCTTGGAGAACGGGAGCTTTGAAGATCACCGCCCGGTTTGGCATAGCGATGTCTAACGCTTAAAAGAGAGCTTATGACTAAAAACAACCCTCGAAGGTAGCATTAGCCGATGATGATTCTCAAAGATCAGATGCAATGTGTTCATATGCCGGTAACTCAAGCTAACCCCTTTTAGCAGCTTTATCGATTAGGAATCAGGTTTGTTAGCTTAACCAATGATTCACGGGTTCAAAACGAACCCAAATGAATCATCCTTTTTACTCAAAATCTCAGGAGAATGAGATGGAGTTTGGATTTGGTTTTACTTATCTTTCAGTTTGGGTTTATTTATTTGATTCTCACCTTCAATATTTTTGAGTAAGGTGAAGGCAAGAGAAGGAGAATTGCCCTGCTTTTACTTATAGTTTCTAGCATTAAGTGTTTGTGTTTTAATCAACCACCTAACTACGAATCTTGAATTGTTCCATCTTTCTTTTCAATCTATGGATATATGTTTGGCTTTCTTATCTTCAATCTTTTTTGTTAATGCATTTGGTCTATCTGCCATGATCTAATCCAATAATCCTCTTGGCAACTTGTAGAAGAAAGTGCAGAACATAATGTGAACAAAACAAGAAAGAGGCCAAAGAGAAAATAACCAAAGAAACATTTCACATTCATCAAGATAATGTAAAAATGGTGTTTTTGGATTTGGCCTTTGGGGTTTTATCAATAGTAATAATAATGTGAACATAGGATAGATAAACTTAGCTCCTACTAGTTTGGCAACTTATGAAAGAGAAAGAGAACCCTCGAGAGTCGCATACACACGGCCACATTTATGACTATTTACACTCAAGATCCCATTTGCATGGTTTTAACAATTTTCGAAAATAGTTTGTGCAATTAGTTAGCATCAATATTTTGAGTTTTTTTTGTGCAAGATATTTATTACTCCTCCTTAAACCGCCATCGAATTCCTAAATATTTCCTTGGGTGTATTCAATTGAATTTTGGTGGGGATAAGCTCTTATAAATGAAGAAGAAGAGGGTCCATTTTGACTCTTCTTTGAATGCTTGGGGGACTTACTTTCTGCTTTTGGTAAAATTAATGACTTTTTTTTTTCAGATCACAACTGTCTTCGCTTTCCTCCTTTATTTTTTTTTTTTGTATCTCCTCTCTAGTGTGTGTATGTATAAAATAAAAATCATTATACAAGAGGATATATATTTCAGAATTTTAGTATTAAAATATTAAAGTTTTCATGTTTTCAATAGGATTGTTGAATATAAGATTCATGATTGTTTGTTGTCCTTTAGTAGTGGGCACCTCATGTTGCAAAATTCGCAGTCCCTTCGCTTATAAGATATGCCTTTTTTCTTCACTTTTGGATAAAAAGTATGAGGAGAAATGTCTTTTTGAAAAGTGTTGAATTTTTTTTAGAGAAAAACTTATATTGTAGGGTTTGTGTTGAATTTCTTTATTTTGGTTTCCCATCATAATGAACACTATTTTAATTTAGGGATGTTTATTTTAATTACACCATAAATTAAAAAGGCGATACAAAAAAAAAATCTTATTGGACTCAGAGCATGTATTGGCTAGTCGAAAAAAACAATTTTATTCTCATTGGTATTTCACAAGGTTTGAAAGGAAATTTTTTATAAGTATCAAGTTTGGATCATAATTCATATTCTTATGATTTCTTTTTAAACTAGATTTACAAATAGCATGTGATCGAATCACAAGGAGTTTTTCAAATAAATGTGCATGTTAAAAATGATATTTGGATCGGTTTGACAAAAAAAACAAAGATATTTGGATTAGTAAGTTTGTTCCAACTTCAACATCAATAGGGTTAAAAGTTGCCACTCTCACGTTTTGAATTTGAACCCTTTTTTTTAAAAAAAAGTATCGGTTACTTTGTATCAAACACTTTATAAAAACCAATAATATACTATGATCCAAAGTCCCATATAGATCCAAACTTAGAGATCATTGCATAATTAACTTATGATTAGAAAACATGTATTGCAATTAGATTAACTGCCCTATTAAAGAGTCAAGATATTTACGAAAACGATGTTATTAAACCTTGCAAATTAGTCAAGTAAACATGATGATAATTAAATACGTTGTTTGTAAGCCATAGCGACACGAATACAAGGGTCAAGTGACAATTCATCGATTTGAAATAATGAAATATTCGCCTACATGTAAATTGATTATAAAATCCAAAAGGCTTCAAGAGAATAAACAAACGAACGACCTCCAACGACGAAGGAGACCATGCTGTTTTAATATCTATAGAATAGATACATTTAATATTTGATAGTTTTATAAAAAAAGTAGATCAACTGGTTTAACAGTATTTTGCATGCCATTGCCAGATTCAAGTTCAAATCTGGCTTGAAAAATGATATTAGGCTTTGTGGAGTTGTCACAAGTCTATCAAAGATCGGTTCTAATCTTGGATCTTATAACAAGATTGATAAACTTTTTTTGTTAAGGAAAAAAAAGAAAAAAAAAACAAAGGAAAATAAGATACATTACTATAGATAGAATAATTAAAAAATAACATCATCCCTACCAAAAAATAAAATTACAGAATTAAGAAAGAAATGGAAGGGGCACATGTGAAAGAACGTGGGAAGGTTTGAGAGCATATGATTTGAGACATGGTAGAAGCTTTGATGCACTGTCACTATTCACTAAGCCACTCTGTGTTTTTTGACTGCTTTTTTACTCTCACCTCTTGTCTTTTATCCCGTTACACACCAGCTCTTTGGAATCTATCTTTTTTTAACTGTATCTCTCTCTCCCAACAAAAACAATTTGTTTGAACCGTACGTACTCTTTACATTTTGGTAGATATATTAATATTGTAAATGAATCTATATACTTAATTTCATGCTCTAAGTTTAGGAGTACAACTCATTTCTCAAAGATAGAGCTCAATAGTTGAAAGTGATTTGGTTCATAGATGAAAGTGTAAATCACTTTCTTGTGCTTCATTTTCATATCTCGAATAACAATGAAGGGAAATGTTTGAGATCATGAAGTTAACATGTGAGATAAATATAAAAACATAACTCTAAAACTTGTTAGGCACTTTAAAACTAAACCTAGCTTTAACGCCAAAATAAAATGAAACTAATTGTCGGCAAAGATTGGTAAATATGATGGTACAAAGGAAATAAAGGAAACGAAAAGGGGGGTGGGTTTCAGTCATTCATTGATGTGAATAATGCCATTTTGAATGTTGACAGTTCTGTTCTTGAATTTATTTCTATGACGACTTGTAATATTACCCATATCTAAGGGCACCCCAACGTTGAACAATCCTCTTTTTTTCTCTTCATTTTTGATCTGGTAGGAATGCCCACCACCTATAAAATAAATATACGTAGAATCTACAAATTTTACATTTTGATTATCATATTGTATAGTATGTAGCAGCAATCTTACCATTGAAAAAGATCGATCATATTATCCGAGCAAAGGCCGCTGCCAATATTTCTAAGATGTAGCATTATATCTTTGAAATTATTCAGTAGTAATATTCCATAACAATTTTTGTTTTCTCTAGAAAACTAGTATTAACCTAATAGTGATGTCACCTGAGAGAAGATTGGTCATGATATTTTTTTCTAGACCATCTAGCTTCCATCAAATCGAGTTACACATATTTGGATTGATATCAAATGTAAAAACAAAAACAAAGAAACAAAAAAAGGCATGTGCTGATAATCATAACAATGTCCAGAGACATGACTATCTATGAGTACCAACAGTCCATCAATTGGTTTTATTTATGTACTCAAGAAGTATTGGAATTATAATCATACATCTTAAATTTAAATATTCGGATAATTGATGATTTTTAGAAGAAAAAAATCCCAGAATGATTTAGACATTAATTATGTAACAGCAAAACCAATGAAAACTACAAGTGTTCTAAACTAGGACAAAGGCTGGGAGTGACAGAGTCTGGCCATACGCACCAAATCAATCTCTCAAGAAAACACTAATGCAGAGCAAGGTAAATCAATGCAGCTAAAATAAATAAATCAAGACCAATCTTTTAACACTGTTTCGTAAGATCTAGAACAAAGCAGTTGATAGATTCAGCAAGATTCTAACAACATTAGAGTGTTCATCAAATTTCATAAACCAAAGTAGTAGCGAGGAGGCAGTTTTTGTTACCAATAAAAAAGCAGAGGAATTTGGGGTTTCTTTTACTTCAAAATATTAACTGCCTTAAACAATTTTGAAATTTTATTTTTTTTAAAATTGATATATTCAAAATATTACATTATTATTTTTCTTCACATTTACCATGCATGTAGTTGAAATACGAGAGCACATCTAAAAAAAAAAATCGTTTTACCTTAGTTATTTTTTGGTTAATAAGTCTTTTCACAGTAGTCGCTGCTTATATTATCGCGCACACACACACGATCATAATCACAATTGTGAAGTCACAACGAATAACTATTGAACCTCTTCATCCATCATACGAAAACGATCATATATAATGAAACGTTGTTGTACTTATTACGTATACCATTCCCCATTTCCTTGAGATTATTCAATATAGTTACATCTTACATGTAGTATATAGTGTCCCCTTATGACATTTCATCTCTCAATGACTCAATCATAAGATTAGTAATAACATATTAATTTTGTCTCTAATTAATTAATAAGGAAGATGATGAAGATCAGGATCAGGTTTATCAACACCGTCAACGTTCCTAAGCCAAAACGTCATATTGAAGGAGGCAGCACCGTTAGGGACATCTTCCATCACTGACTCTTGTCCCGGCGGAAAGAATATTCCGGTGCGGGGGTGTGGGACCCAGCTCTCCTCTTTGCCGCCACAGTTGAGATTGTGGTCGGAAATATCTTCAAAGTAGTTGACCATCATCGGGTTTGGTTTTGCAGCTTTGCTGCTTATCCCTGCTCGCCCTTGAAATTGCTTCCAACTCCTAAATCATCATTATTACAAAATTATATTTAGTTACTTTTGTATATATGTTAATAAACCTCCATTTTCTATATTCTACTTATGGATCACACATTTTATAGCTAGTTATATAGTATCAAAATTATAGAAAAAATATTTGCTAATTAAGAAACTATTTTATGAATTTTCTTTAGCTAGATTTTGACAAATGATAATTTTTTTTGTTTTTTTATAAGGTTAAATTTTATAAAATCGAAATATATGAAGAGAAATCATATTTATATATAAAGCAATTAACATGATGAGTTATGTGGGTTCTGTCGACCTTTTATGATGTGTGTTGTGGCTAATAGCATTTGATTAAGAGAAAATAAAAGAAGAAATATGAGAAAAGTTATGGTTTTGACCTTAACAGCAGCTTTGGTGCTTTGGCGATCTCAGTTCTTCCCATCAACTATGTATAGACCCACGAACTCAGATTTTTTTTTAATATATACTTTATTATGTAAATATGAAATCAGAGTATTTATTGATATTAGTACGAGTATATTTCTATCAGTCTCTAAACTTGATCTTGTGTTCTGACATCTCTTTGGTCTATTCTATATATAAACTCCATAAACGGTACGGGTAGAGAATCTCGAGAGTGGAGGAATAAGAGAAGAGGATACTAATTTAAAAGTAATTCAGCAGTTGTTACTTGTTTTTTTTTTTTTTCTGGCTAAAAAGTTGTTACTTGGTTAGTTTGAAAGAATTTATAACGTGATCAATGTGTTAAGAGACTCGACATAATTAGGACAGTGGGATTTCAGTTTTCAGAATCTGCATGGTATTAATTATTGCAAATTATGGATAAATTTGTATGTAAATTTCAATGTTTCTTTTTGAATTAATTTCCCATGGTGTCCGTCTATGGCGTTAGACCCGTTTATAATAATGAATTTTGGTGTTACAATATAAAGATAAGAAAAAGTTAGAGAATTGAACGTAAAAAGTCTTCAAGAATATCAAAGTACAAAAGTGTTGTTGTTTATTTAAATAAATTAATGTCGATTAATGAGTGCCATTGGTTCTAAAGAAAATCCGAATTAAATCCGATTATGATACCGGATGGTGATAATATTGGAAGAAGTATATATATTTCAACATCACTTGTATAGTTGTAGATGTAATGCTTCTACAAAGAAAATCAAAACTAGCTAAGAGATAGTAAAAGAAATAACCCAGACTCCAAAAGAGTTAGGAAACTCTGATATCAATCAAGTTTTAATTAGTAGTGCGCATGCATGAGGGTTATGATATTTTCTAAAAGCTTTTTGATCTTGATATTAAAACACTGAGCGGAGTTAATTAGTAATCAACTCAAAACATATGCATGTCCTACAAAGGTAAAACACAAATCACTAGTACAAATTAACTTGAAGGAGCTAAAACATCAGTTTGCCAGTTACACAGTGTAAAGATTAAGGACATTATGCCACAATTGCCACTTCAAAGGGCGTTATGCTATAGACAATATCTTTCGTTTGTCTTTGTATTTCATTACTACTTTTTTCTATACCAAAAATTTATTGGCCTAATATATCGAATTCCCTTCGAAGACAATATTAGGTTAAATGAATATTTGGATTGCCGTTGGATCGAGCTTATTACCTTAAGAAACTCTATCTTTCAAGTGATATAACTGATACGCCATATCTACGTCGGTTAAGCAACGTACCGATGAGGGGCCAGTGGGGTTGTATTTGTTATATAGTATCTAAGTTCGTGTTAACATAAACTTTTATCATATTTGAGTTTTAACATTACATATGTATGTTAGCATTTATAAAATGTCGTTTCAGAAATGTCTTAAAATGCTATTCATAAATTTTTATAGTGTAAAATGCTATCTCATAGTCATAGGTGGTTGTTCCTTTTTTCTTTTTCTTATTTACTTTCCAAAAGTTTCACCATGGAACTTTATTACAAATTTGTGAACTGTAACATATGCATGTGTTTAAATAACCAAAATATAGAGTACTTATTACTTAATTTGGTTACAACTTCTTTGATAGAAATCTTAGAATATATTCCGTGATGCACATTGTGCGCTTCATAAGGAAAAGTGAAAAATCCAATGGAAGAAATTAGTTTTTAAAAAGGTGAAGCTGTTTTACGACAGACAAATTCAACTAATCCTTTCTTTTGTATATTTTAGTAAAAAGTTGTGAACAAACACTCAGCACATGATCTTAATTAGTTATATATGCTACGTAATTGGTTGTTATAACTTATAACCAACCTTTATCAAAGATACCCACCTTCTGAAAAACATGCAATTTGTGGGGTTTACAAAGTTTTAAGGAACTATTCTATCTGAATACGTTACAATGAGATTTTAGTAGTGTTTACTCTAATCCAACGTATCAAATCCGCTCCGGACTTTAAACAATTTTGAGAGCTATGTGTTTATAAAGTGAGCACACCCAAACAATATATGAAGGAACAGTGGATTTCACATACAGTATATATAGTTTTGCAAGAAAAACCAAAACTACAGAATTTCTAATCCCAAACTGTAGAAAGAAACATTAATTAGATGCCTTTGTTACTATTTGTGTAAAGAACCTCTCATTTTAGCCCAGGTGTGAATTTTTTCGAATTTTTTTGTTTTTCCTTATCCTCGTTTTCCTTTCGATGCGACATAAATTTAGAATTATGCTTCAATTTATAACCTCTCAAGGGCAAAGTCTAGCTTTAATTAAAAAAAAAAAATCATGGTTCAAGAAAGCTAAAGAAACGAAAAAGCAATCAATGAAACTGTGAGTTTCTATAAGTTCTAATCATGATTTGTATTATACGATTATCATAAGACCTAAAAAAAATATACCCTTATAACATTTTTTTTTTGGGGATCATAAATTGTATCTATTAAGACTATTTTCATCCCAAAAGAGCTAGCATAAGGACAAGTTTTGGTAAAGAGACTCTACAAGAACGACAAAGTGTACACTAGATTCTTTTTGTCATTTTGAGCTTGATGTTTCGAATCACATTCATTACATAAAATAGCAAGTAATGAGTGATGTAGCCATTTGTGGTTTTTTAAGTGAGGCTTTGCCTGAAGTTAGTAACCAAAAGCTGAAGAAAACATTACATGGTAAAAATATGTCTCCAAAAGGTCCAATAAGCAAAGAGAAGCAGAGAAGATGCCGAACCAAGAAACCTAAAGCGACTTGGCAAAAGTGCTTAAAACTCAGGAACTGGAATTAGAAAAGGTGGGCAGAGATCAACTAGATTGAATGAATTTATTCAGGTTTTTACACATTATAACCACAAGCAATACATGTTTAGTCGTTTAGACACTTGACTCAAATACATACCCTCCTATGCTTCTACACTTTTTTGTTCTGTTTTCTGTACTATAATTGGAAGCTGAACAAGACAAATAAATTTCATTCTTACAACTGTACAAAACTTACCATGCGCCTTTAAAGACTTGTGCAATAATCACAGACTTTTGTTGGTTTTTCTTTTGCAGGAGGAGATCATGGGAGAAGACTAGCAGCAGACTCATCTCCATGTTCTTCATCCAACTGTGACTCTGATGGAACTCCTGAAACTGGTCTTGTTTCCTCCGGGATAAATGTCGCCCACTGCTTCTCCTTAACGAGTGTTAAGAATGGGTACAAGCAGAATCCGAGAACTATGATCACACCGCTGATCAGAAATGTCTTTGGGGCGGCCAAAACCATCACAAGAATGACAAGCAAAGAAGGAGGCAGGCACAGCATTGCAACTCCAAAGGTGTTTAAGGGAACTCTATAAGGTCGGTGAAGATCCGGTTTCTTGATCCTTAGTTTGACAAAAGCTGCGAATTCAAGAAGCATTCCTAATGCGTACAAGAAATTCAGAAACTCTATGATCTCTTGAAAGCTCATCCATGACAGGAATATGACTCCTGTAGCTGAGCACAGAATACTGATTGTTGGTGTCCCATACTTTGACCTGCAGACACGAAAGATCGTTAAACCGAGTATTTCAAGGGCATAACAAAAACACACTCTTGGGGACCAACAAACTGACCTCTGAGCAAAAAATGCAGGGAGCATCCCGATCTCACTCATACCGAGAAGCTGAAATGCATCACTACTCATCTCGGCTTCAAACAAACCAAGATTTGACATTGCAGCAGCTGCTTGTATCCATCCCTTGAGCCAAACACCTCCAATAAGCATTCCAACCTCAGCAAAATACCCATCACTCCACTCTCCAGAAGAGGATGAGCTTAAAGCTCCAGTCCCTGCCATGAGCGGAATCAAATAGGACCCCATGACCAACAAAACTGCTCCAAACAAAGCCTTTGGAAACGTCTTCCCGGGTCTGTCAACTTCTCCTGCAAGAGTACTAGCTTTGTCCCAATAGTTGAGATTCCAAAACATGGTATTGAAGTACCCTCTCCAATTAATCTTCTGAGTATCCACAAACAACCAACGCTTAGGCCTGATTCGAGGAACCGCAAGGAAAGCCATTACAACGAAAGGACAGAGCGAGAAAACCGCAAGCACAACAGCTGAAAAACCAACAATATGCAATCCTCTATAGTTCAAATACGTCAGTGAGAATGTGATTCCCAACAGAGCAGGAACACGAGCAGCTACATGATTCAAAACAGGGAACGAATGTTTCAAGTAATCAAGAAACAATACAGGGTATAAAGCATTGTCCATAACACCACTAAACCATTTCCAAAACCCTTCTTGGAATCCCCAAAACGGACCAAAAGCTGAAGAGATCCAAACCACGTAGCCACCATTCTCAGGGAAGCTTGTAGCGAGCTCTGCTGTGACCAGAGCTTCGGGTATACTCCAAATCAGAGGGAAAATCAAGAAGCCTAAAAGGGCTAAGAGAGGACCACCACCTGATTTCACAGAATCCTCCACCCCAAAAGGTCCACCAGAAACTTCATAGAAGATGAGAAATACTAGAGGCAATAGTGTCAGTTTTGGACTTGGTTTAGTTGTCTCAGAGCTGTTTTCATCGTTCACGATTGTCTCTTCACCCATCAAACAAATACCACCAACTCAGAGAGAGAGAGAGACAGAGCTCTCGGTGATTCTATAGAAAACAAACAAAAACATACTTTTTAGTAGAGATTTTGGATGGATTCAATAAAAATCAATCTTTTCCTCGAAAACATCAAAAAGTTAGAGACTTTACAAATCTCTGTCCAAAAGTCAGAGGAATTGCAAAACAGAGAGTCAAATTAATCAATGGGTTCTGTTCGAGGGAACCTGTAGATCGAAGTGGGCTTGGTACAATGGATCTCTGAATCTCTCTCTCTCTCTTTCTCTGATGAACCCTAAAACTTGGTGCAGAGAAAGGAGATGAAATTGATTGGAAAGATTAAGCTGAACAAGTTAACATCTCAGATTCAAAGATAGGATGTGACGTTTGATCAAAAATATCATTGTATAATTGCTTTTGGCGTAGGACTTGCATATTAGTTTTGTAAGTAAAGACGCCACATGGCTCCACCACTACGCTACCCCATCACTCTACGACTTCGTCAACTTTTGCTTCCCTTAAACCATATGCAAGGGGGAACTTTTGAATGTGTTTTTTTTCTTTTTTTTTTGAATAACCGCGGGTCTCCCAAAGGTTTTCTAGGTCCAAGAATTAATCCCACGAGGCTGGCAATTCCCCTATGTAAACTTGTCAGTAGCCGTGCCTCGAACCCTGGTGGCAAAAGTCACAGCTGGTTTAATAGGGTTTATCAGTCTTGGTTTAATGTCGTTGGTTTATTGTATATATAAGCTTAAGCACACATTTAATGTGGGATTAGATTATAACAAACATTTTGGATGATTGAATAAGATTCTGTTAAACCTCTCCGATCTTTCTTTTCCTCTGTTTCACCGGAGTTTTACCGGAGTTAATATGGTATCAGAACTTTTGAGTGTGTTCTTAGACCATCAGCAGCAGTGGCAAATGTGTTTGTGTGGGTGTAAGTATTTTTTTAGTATTATAATTTAAAGCAAAAGAGAAAAGAGAGAGAAAGAGAGAAAGAAAAAAAGTGCTACACCCGAGTGTAAAGTAACATCCGGGTGGGAAGAGAGAGACATTATTTCAATTATTTTTATTTTGTTTATTACTCACACCGGGTCGATGAGTGCTCCACTGCTGATGCTCTTAGGATTTAAAAATATGAAATAAGGTGAACAGTGGTAGAACAGTTCTAACTTATCCTGCAAACTGTTTTTCCTGAAGAACAGTTTTTATAATTTTAAAAACAGTTGTATCCACTATTCAACATTTATATTATTTTAAAACCTTTAAGAACACACCAAGTGTTCCCTCTTGCATACGCTCTTAGATAAACAAATATCATTAGTCTACGAAATTATTATTTATGGCCACTTGAAATACATTTCTGGTTTAGCAGACTCACTGGCTCCATGAAGACCATCCGGTCTAGCCGACTAGACACATGAATTACATCGTCCAATGTTCTCTCTTGCTGTTGTAAAAGGTGGTCGTACGTAGTACTATATCGCCTATGGGGCATAAGGAAACAAGGAGAACAATAATCTGTCCTTTAACAATTTCTTGCATCATCTCCCTTTTCATTCACCTACTCTGTTTTTCCTTTGAACAATAATAGTCAATTATGTAATGAGATTTAGTTAGAAAGAAAGTGGTAGCAGTATACTGCTGGAAAACTATATTAACCTCCTAGGTGTTAGAGGTTTTGTACAATATAAGTGTTATAGCTTGGAATGAAAAAGAAAAACAACTTGTGGTTGATGTGCGTGCTCTGTTTTGGAAATGAATTTTCCATTTTACTAAATATTGTATTAACAATGTTTCCTTTTTTCTGTTTCTTATATCGGTAAAATTTAGCAACGTGAAGTGGAAAAAGTTACGGTATTTTTCTATATATATTTATAAGAGTGGCCAAGCGTGAAACTTAGAAAACCCTAGTTTCTAAAAAACCCTAATCTAAGATTTGAAGTATTTGATAACAATGACTATGATGTACGATTTCTCGCAGGATTTGCTAGAGGAGATTCTCTCTAGGGTTCCAGTAACATCTCTGAGAGCAGTGAGATCAACTTGCAAACGATGGAACGATATAATCAAAGATCCGAGCTTTTCAAAGAAGTATGGTGGTAAAGGAGCCAACGAGTTTCTGGTAATCATGCTGAATGATTTTAGGGCTTGTTTAATGAGCGTCAATCTTCATGGCATCCTAGACAATAAAGACCTGGTAGATCCATTTATAAAGCAAATAGGTGAACTTAATCAAGTCGAGATATATGAAGTGTATCATTGTGATGGCTTATATATTGTTATGCATCACCAATGAGGACAATACTAGGCTCGTGGTATGGAACCCGTATTTGGAACAAACCAGGTGGATCCAACCCATCAACAAATTTTGCAAATTTGATCGTTATTGTATGGGCTACGATAACAATAACAACAACCACAAAATTTTGAGGTTCTTCATAAGGTTTGGCTACATTGAGTATGAAATCTACAATTTTATGTCTAATTCATGGAGTGTCCCTCATACAACTACCAATTGGGATATCTCGCCATATTGCAGTCGGGGTGTCTCCTTGAAAGGAAACACTTACTTTATTGCTCAGAAAAAAATGGAAGTGGAACAAGTAGAGACGTAAAAAAATTTACACTGTTTTGATTTTACAAGTGAGAGATTTGGACCGCTTCTTCCTCTTCCATTCCACTATTCTATTGGAAATTTGGTAATTCTATCTACTGTTCGAGAAGAGCAGCTTGCAGTGTTATTTAAAAGGTGTGGTGCATATGAGACGAAGATTTGGATTACAACAAAGATTGAGCCCAATACAGTGTCGTGGAGCAACTTGTTAAAACTTGATTTTAAGTTTGATTTATTATGTGGCAGTTTCTTCGTTGACAAGGAAGAGAAAGCTAGTAGCAGTGATTCGTAGTGTACACGGAGAAAATAGCACCAACAACACGGCTTACATGATTGGAGAGGATGGATACTGCAAAGAAGTGGATCTCGGAGAATCTAAGTTTTGTCCATCTATGTGGTCTTATGTTCCAAGTTGTGTGCAGATCCAGTAATGTCGAGTATTACCTCTACAAGGATGTTATTTGTTTCTTCCATTTCCTGTTCATTCATTTACTCAATGGCTTTTCATTTTTTTGTCGTGTTGATTTAAATTAACAGACTTGTCAATTACTGATTTAGTTGATAAACATAAAAACTTGATTCTCGAAATAATTGTTTCTTGTTGTTGGCCACATCATTCAAATGATGCATTATACGTTTGGAGCGAAACTATGCTTTATAGGTGAAGAGAGTTTAAGTCTCAAACTTATCCATTCTCATTTGAAAAAGGTATCTCTATTAAAGATTGTCGAAAGCAGAGACAACATGGGAGGAGGCATACATCTTCTTTTTCTTCCACTAGTTCTTTCATCATCTTCTTCGTCTTCCTTTAGAGATTTCTCATGGATTTTAATCGTTTGGTTAGAAAAGAACTAGTGGAAGGAAGACTGCTGATAACTCCATTAGCCTGCTAAGTGATACATAACAAGCGTTAGATTAAAAAGAGCAAGAATGAGTTTAGTTTCAGATACGGAATTTAGTAGCAACAGTTTAGATGATAAGGTACTTGAAAATGATAAGCAAACTGTTTAATTAAGTTGCATAAAACTTAAAAGAAAGAAAGCCTTTAGTAGCTAGTAATTTTGTTTAAAAAAACATAGTTATAATTTTAGGTCGAAAGCCTAGAATTAGTAAACCACGTATTATCTTCGTAATATTAAAAAACAAATTACGAGAAATTTAAAAAAAGAGAGTAGTGGGCAAGCCTGAAAGTTAAAAACCCTAATTCTTGCTTGAAACAATAATGACTACCATGTCCGATCTTTCTCGGGATTTGGAAGAGGAAATTAAATACTGTGTAGAGTTCCTATAACTTCTCTACGAGCAGTCAGATCTACTTGCAAACGATGGAATCTATTATCTAAAGAGCAGAGCTTTGCAAAGAAACATTGTGGTAAAGCAGCCAAGGAAACTCTGGTGGTCAGGGTTTTTGATTATAGCTAGGGCTTGTTTAATATGCGTCAATCTCCATGGAATCCATAACCAAAAACACTTGGCAGATCCATTAATAAAGCAAATAGGTAAACTTAATCAAGTCGAGATATCTAAAGTGTTTCATTGCGATGGCATATTGTTATGCGTCACTAGGGATTTCTCGAGCTAGGCTGGTGGTTTTGAACGCGTATTCCGGACAAAACAGGTGGATCCAACCCAAAAACAAAAGTTTACATATATTAGCAGGTTTTCTGTCGGATATGACAGCAACAACAACCACAAAATCTTGTGGGTTTCCCATTGGTTTGACAACAATGAGTTCCATATCTACGATTTTAAGTCTAATGTATGGAGGTTTCTTGATGTCACTACTAGGAAAAGATTTCCTTGGAGGAGTGTGTCCTTGAAGGGAAATACTTACTTTACTGCTGTGGAGAAACTCAAAGGACAGGAAGAGGTAAAAGAATATAGTTTATTCTGTTTCGATTTTACAAGAGAGAGATTTGGAGGTCGCCTTCCTCTGCCATTTCACTCTGGTACCCATGGTTCTGTAATTCTATCTACTGTTCGAGAAGATAAGCTTGCAGTGTTATTTAATAAGTTTGATGTAGATGAGACGAAAATATGGGTTACAACAAAGATTGAGCCCAATGCAGTGACGTGGAGCTACTTCTTAAAACTTGATAGGAAAGTGTTCAGTGGAAGAAGAAATGTATTCGAACAAAATTTCTTCGTGGACGAGAAGAATAAAGTGATTTTTTTATATAGACACAGAAAAGAGGCCCAACTACAAAGCTTACATTATTAAAGAGGATGGATACTACAGAGAAGTTGATCTCAGAGAATCTAGACATGTGATACGTAGTATGTGCTCTTATGTTCCAAGTTCGATGCAAATCCAGTAAGGTCCAGTACAATTACCTCTGCATGAGAAGAAAGAAGGTGATTTTATAGTCTAGTTATATAGTTTACAAATTAAATACCTTTTCTTTCGTCAATTGTTCTCATGTCCTTTTGAACAATACTGGTCATTATTCTATATTTAGTCGACAGGTTTTGCTGATCATAAACTTAATTGAATATTTATTTATGGATCAATGAACTTTTTTGAGTTTTCATGGTTCTTCTCCAGAATCTCGTATTTGTATTTGTGATCTTGAAAATTGCATCTATCCTCTTCATGCATGTCCTCTTGTGATTCTTCTGTTAAAGCCAAATCCCTCTTACATTTCTTAGCTTTTGCTGCTTTGCATACATTTCTTGTTAAAGCCAAATCCCTCTTCCAGATAACTTTTTGCTTAAGGAAGACTGACTCGAGACTTCCATTATTTAACTAATTTAGCAGTAACAATTTTCCTGATTGTTTTGTTTAAACGTATCAAAAAATTCGTTAGGATTAGAAAGTCTCGTATTTATCTTTGCAATTTAAAAAAAAAACAAATTACGATAAAGTTAGAAACAACACTGGAAAAGAATATTTTGAAGCCGAAGATTCTCTATCACATATAATTCTGACCTAACTTATTTGTTCATATAAAGACTAGTGGGCGAACGTGTTTTCGACATGAAAAAATGACGACGATGTCCAATCTTTCGCGTGATTTGGTAGAAGAGATACACTCTAGGGTTCCAATAACTTCTCAAAGGGCAGTGAGATCCACTTGCAAACGATGGAACGTTTTATCCAAAGATCAGAACTATACAAAGCACCTTGGTCCAGCGTCCAAAGAGATTATGCTGATCATGATCCGTGGTTGTAGGGCTCACTTAATGAGCGTCAATCTCCATGGAGTCCATAACCACAAATACTTGGTAGATACATCTATAAAGGAATTAGGTAAACTTAATCAGGTCGAGATATTTGAAGTGCTTCATTGTGATGGTTTATTGTTATGCGTCACTAAGGATTACTCGAGGCTCGTGGTTTGGAACCCGTACTCAGGACAAAACAGGTGGATCCAACCCAAAAGCAACAATTTCCATACATTAGACAGGTTTGCTATTGGATACGATATCAATAACAACCAAAAGGTCAAAGTATTGAGGTTTTACTATTGGAGTGACTACGTTGAGTATGAAATATTTGATTTTAAGTCTAACTCATGGACGGTTCTTGATGTCACTACCGACTGGAAAATACATCGTCGGGGTGTGTCCTTGAAGGGGAACACTTACTTTATTGCTCATGAAAGATTTAAAGTGGATCAAGAGGGAGAATTTTTACGCAGTTTTGATTTTACAAGAGAGAGATTTGGACCGCTTCATCCTCTGCCATTTCACTCTTGTCTTGATGATTCTGTAATTCTATCTACTCTTCGAGAAGAGAAGCTTGCTGTGTTATTTAAGAGGTGTGATGCATGTGATATGAAAATATGGATTACAACTAAGATTGATGCCAATACAGTGTCATGGAGCAACTTCTTAAAAGTTGATATGCAACTATACGCTGAAAGATTTCGGTCTCCATGTAGGAGTTTCTTGGTCGACGAGAAGAAGATAGTAGCAGTGATTTTTGATATAGATAGAAAAACGTGGACCAACTACAAACCTTTCATGGTTGGAGAGGATGGATACCAAGGAGAAGTGGATCTCAGAGACTCTGAACTCTGGATGCTTATGTGCTCTTATGTTCCAAGTTCGGTGAAGATCCAGTAAGGTCCAGTACCTGCACGAGGTAAAAGAAAAGGAGGATAATTATTAGTCCCTTCTACGATTTACAATACCTTTTTCATTCGTTTTCGTTTTTCTGATTAGAAACTAAACTTGAGTATTTACGGATTTCCTTGTGAGTTTAATCAACTTGGGTTATTTGGTTATTTGGTGTGCTTGTTCATAGAGGAAGCTTTATGTGACATTATGACATATAGCTCTACTGACTTTCTTCACTAGGATGATAACTTTACCAGTTAAAAATTAATTTACAAATTTCTTCACTAGGATGATAACGGTGAAATTATTAGGGTAAGTAATCATGATTTTGAGTCGTGGTTTCAATCCCATCAGTTGGTAAAATCGTGAGCTTACTGGATTTATCATTTCCTTGGGAGCTTGATTACCTGATCTATTTAATGAACTTAAACCCATTCGGGGTTTCTCCTTCTGGACTTTCTCCATGCACTTGTGATGTTGAGAATTTCTTGTATTTCATTATACTCTCTGCCAAGCCATACAAACAAAAAACAGAACAAACTATTAAAAAATGTGTTTTGTCTTTCAGAAGAACCTAAAAACAAAATTAAAATAAAATCCGAGGGCAAAAAAATAAAGACTCACCAGCGGGTTACAGACTTACAGTGTCCCAAATCTAGTATAAAAGTACATACAAATAGCATGTGAAGTTCTTTCATCCAAAATAAATAAAGACAAGCTCGTATTATCTCCTATATATATATGTTCTTTAATTAAGGGTTGGGACTGCAAACATTCTGATTTTGTGTCGTCGTTTTAACTTTTAAACATATCAGTTGGTGAAATTGTGGTTGTTTTAGAATCTTGTCATGAGATAGATTCGGGCTATATATGTTTATGGTTTTGAAATCTGCTCACGATGTTTATGTTGTTGATCTACGTTGAATCTAAAATGATTAATCAACAAAATTTTGGGAACTGTATGTTTAATGAGATAATTGGAATTTTCCTTTATCCCGGTTCGCATAAATGGAAGTTTTTTATTTATACTTTTTCTTTTCCTCTTTAGGTAAAGAGGTTTTGTAGAAAACTTGATTTTTTCTTTAAACTGTAAAACCCTAGTATTCTTTATTTGAAAACAATGACGATGATGTCCGATCTTCCGCATGATTTGTTAGAGGAGATATTATCCAGGGTTCCATTGACATGCCTTAGGGCAGTGCGATCTACTTGCAAAACATGGAACAATTTATCCAACAAGAGCAAATTTTATGTAACGCAAAAGAAAGGCAGCAGTTTCTTGGGTTCATGAGGAAGGATTATAGGGTTTGTTCTTTAAGAATATTCAATTTCCAGGGAATCCTCCAAGGTGAAGAATTCGTTGACTCATCTATAAAGCCAGTATGTAATTTAATTTATCAAGTTAAGATATCTAAAATTGTTAATTGCGATGGCTTATTGTTATGCATTACAAGTGTAAATACTGAGATCGTGGTTTGGAACCCGTATTTGGGTCAAACGAGGTGGATCAAACCCATAAAGGCTGACATGACAGGTGTCAAGTATGCTCTCGGATATGACGACAACAAGAATCGTAACCACAAAATCTTGAGGGCTTTGTATCATTCTCTCTACAGCGGAAAAAGTAGTATTATTCGATATGAAATTTATGATTCATGGAGAGTTCTATAGACGTGGCGTGTCATTAATGGGAAATACTTACTTCGTTACCACAGGGAGAAAAAATGGGAATGGCCAAAAGTGAGTGAAGATTTTCTACTCTGTTTTGATTTTACAAGAGAGAGATTTGGACCGCATCTTCCTCTTCCATTTTACTATGATGTTTCACATGATTTTGTGGGTCTCTCTTCTGTTAGAGAAGAGCAACTTGCGGTGTTATTTGAATATTTTAATACATCTGAGATAGAGATATGGACGACAACAGAGATTGAGCCCAATGTGGTGTCGTGGATACCCTTCTTAAAAGTTGATAATACTGATTTAAAGTTGGAGATTGATGTTGGGAGTTTTTACATTGACCAGGAGAAGAAACTCGCAGTGGTTTTCGAAAGCCGCGAATTTGAATCCAGAAAGAATAAAGCTTACATATTTGGAGAGAATGGATACATGAAAAAGTGGATCTCGGAGAAGCTGTGACTATTCCGTATTGTGGCCCACGTTGGTGCTCTTATGTTCCAAGTTTAGTGCAAATCAACCAGTCTAGTACTACTATAATGACAAAGGAAAGAAGGACACGCTTTATATATGTATATCTTAAGTCATCTCTGCCAAAGGGAAAAGAGAATAAAGAGAAAAGTTGTGTTCTATTGACATTGAGAAAAGGTATATATACATCCTACACATGAAACCCTAAACATACTTAGGAAAGTTAACATATTAGCCTAAGTATAATATATTTACATTATAGGTCCCTAATACTCCCCCTCAAGTTGGAGCATGAAGATTATACATGCCCAACTTGCGCCGTAAATAAGCAAATTGCTGAGAACCCAAAGCCTTAGTAAAGATATCCGCTGGTTGCTCCGTAGTGGTAAGATGCGCAGTAACCAGTGAACCATCCTGAATTTCATCCCGAATGAAGTGACAATCCCTCTCAATATGCTTCGTCCGCTCATGAAAAACTGGATTGGCAGCAATATGTAAGGCTGCCTTATTGTCACAAAACAAACGCATCGCCCGCGGATGAGACACTCCAAAGCATCCTAAAAGCTCACGATTCCATTTCAACTCTCGAGTAGTAAAACTCATTGCACGATATTCAGCCTCTGCAGAAGAAAATGACACCACATCTTGTTTCTTTGTCTTCCAAGCTATCGGAGAATCACCCAACATAACAATAAATCCTGTAACCGATCTCCGAGACATGGAACATGTAGAAAAATCTGAATCACAATAAGCTGTCAATTGTAAGTCAGGATCAGAACTCAACACAATACCTTGACCCGGACAGCCTTTAAGATATCTGACAACTCGTATAACTGCAGCCCAATGCTTGGCACGTGGTTGTTGCATAAATTGAGCTAACATATGCACAACATAGGACAAATCTGGTCGGGTAAAAGTAAGATATACCAAACGCCCAACAAGCCTCCTATACCTCTCGACATCCTCATAGAACTCTCCTTCATCATCCGGCAACTTATGGTTTTGCTCAAGCGGAGTAGACACTGGTTGACATCCCAACAACCCACATTCACTTACAATATCCAAAGCATACTTCCTTTGCGACAAGTAAAAACCATCATGAGACCGAGATACTTCAATGCCCAAAAAATATTTCATAGCCCCCAAGTCCTTCATATGAAAACATTCACTAAGGTATCCCTTAAACTCCTGAACACCATTAAGATCATTTCCCCCAATCAACAAATCATCAACATAGACCAACACAAAGAGTTGCATAGATCCACGCTCCAAGGTAAAAAGAGAGTAATCGGCTACCTGCTGAGCAAACCCATACCCTTTTAGTGCTGCTGCAAGCTTAGCAAACCAACAACGTGGTGCTTGACGTAGACCATATAAAGATTTCTTAAGGCGACAAACTTTTGATTTATCTTGAGAAACAAAGCCAGGAGGTAATCTCATATAAACTTCTTCCTCAAGATCCCCATGTAGAAACGCATTATGAACATCCATCTGATGTACTTCCCATCCTTTGACAGCCGCAATCTTAAGAAACTCGCGAATAGTTGTCATTTTCACAACAGGAGCAAATGTCTCATCAAAATCTAACCCTTCGACCTGTCGATTTCCCATGGCCACCAAACGAGCCTTGTAACGCTCAATTTCCCCATTCGACTTATACTTGATAGTAAAGATCCAATGACTGCCAATAGCTTTCTTTCCTGGCGGAAGATCGGTAATATCTCAAGTGTCATTTGCTTCTAAAGCATTCACCTCTCCAGACATCGCATTGCACCATTTCTCATCCTTAACGGCTTGTGAATATGACTTAGGAACCGAGATAGCAGTAATGGCCGCAAGAAAAGCTCTCTGTGAATCAGAAAATCGGTCACAACTCACATAATTAGCAATGGGATAGAGGACCGTACCTGGAGCAGAGGATGCTGATTGAGTGGGTGCCGGTGAGAGTGTGGGATGTTCAACTGAGCAACGTGTAGTATGTAGTACATAATCACTTAGATGAGCCGGAGGTTTTCTTTCCCGTTCGCTTCGTCTAACTTTAATCCCTTCACTAGTCAGATTATCATTTCCTAATTGACTCCCCCTTTCCTCCAAAGCAGTATCTGAAGTCTTTTTATTATCTTTGGACCCCGTAATATGAACATCGGACGAGCTGGATGCTGGATCGATCGATCCTGGTACCGGATCGATCGATCCGTTAGTGGCTGATGTCTCAGTAATTTCCTCTGGATCGATCGATCTAGACGTGGGATCGATCGATCGCTCCGTCTCGGGTCCAAGCTCGTCACATGTCAGTAGCTTGGGATCGATCGATCTACGTACCGGATCGATCGATCCCGTTTGGTCCGTCAACTCATCAAACGTCAGTAACTCGGGATCGATCGATCCACGTGCCGGATCGATCGATCTAGTCATCTCTGGTCGAAACTGATCATCTTCAAACTGTGCGGGATCGATCGATCCCGGCTGTGGATCGATCGATCGCTGTTCCGACAACTGATATGGGAATTCTTCTTCTTGAAACACCACATCCCGAGAAACAAAGAATTCCAACTTCTCCAAATCATACACACGCCATCCCTTCTGACCAAATGGATACCCCATAAAAACACACCGTCTACTTCGTTCCCCAAACTTATCTTTATCCCGCAAAACATTACGAGCAAAGCATAAGCTACCAAAGACTCGTAAGTGAGTGATATTAGGTACTTCCCCAAACAACAGCTGATAGGGTGTCTTTCCTTGCAAAACAGTGGATGGAGTTCGATTAATCAAATGACATGCAGTCATAACACACTCACCCCAAAACTGACGTGGTAAGGTAGCTTGAAACATCAACGATCTAGCAACATTCAATATATGTCTATGCTTTCTCTCCACTCTACCATTTTGTTGAGGAGTATAGACACATGACGTTTGATGCAGGATTCCCTCTTCTAGGAAGTACGATCGCAAACCCATAAATTCCCCGCCATTATCACTACGTACTACTTTCACCTTCTTCTCAAACTGTCGTTCCACCATTTTGAAAAAATTCTTAAGAGTTACACCGACTTCACTCTTTTCCCGTAACAGGTGCACCCAAACCGCTCTCGAATAATCATCTACTATTGTCAGAAAATACGCAGCACCCGAAGTAGATACTATGCGATACGGACCCCAGAAATCACAATGAATCAAATCAAAAATTCCAGCAGCTTTATTAGAACTTTCATGAAAACAATCCCGGGTTTGTTTAGCCCGTAAACAAATATCACAAACTGTTGTGGAACTAACTTGCTTTCTAATATCTAAATAACTCGACAAATAGGGAACAACATGACTAGACGGATGACCAAGACGACGATGCCATAAATCCCATGATCCTGAACTGCTCACAGTCTTGTGTATCTTCGCACCAATCACC